ACTGACTGCTCTTGCAGAGGATCCCAGTTTGATTCCCAGCACCCACATGGCAGCTAACGCCATCTACAACTCCAGTTCCAGGGGAAACTGAAGCCCTCTTCTGACCTCCACAGCACTGCACAGCACGGGTGCACTCACATACACGCAGGCAATACACTCATAACATAAAATAAAAATAACAAATAAAATATTTTAGGGCCAGGCGTGGTGGTGCATGCCTTTAATCCCAGCACTTGGGAAACAGAGGCAGGTGGATCTTTGTGAGTTCGAGGCCAGCCTGGTCTACATAGTGAGTTCCAGGACACCCTGTCTCAAAAAAAGACAAAAAAAAATGGCCATGCTACCAAAACAAATCTGCAGGTGTAATGCAATACATATCAAAATTCCAATGTTGTAGTTCATAGATCTAGAAAAAACAATCTGAGAATGCACATCAAACCCCAAAAGACCACAGATAGCCAAAGCAATCCTAAGGAGTCAGAACACAGCTGGAGGCATCACAATACTCGACCTCAAGTTATACCACAGAGTGACAGCAATAAAGGCGGCGTGGTACTGGTATAAACACAAACAGGTCAACCAGTGGAGCAGAAGAGAGGACCTATTTAACAAATGGTGATCACAAAGTTGGATATCCATCTACAGTAGAATGAAATTAGAGCCATGTCTTTCACCTTACAAAAATCTACTTGGAGTGGATCAAAGAACTTCATTTAAAACCAGAAATGCTGAAACTAGATTTATTTGTGTGTGTGTGCCTATGAGGCAGGTGCCCCAGGACCAGAAGACGGTGTCAGGATCCCTGGGGAGCTGAAGTTACAGGAAGTTTTGAGCTGCCCAACATAGGTGCTGGAAACTGAAATGGGATCCTCTTTAAGAGCCATGAGCTCTTAGCCACTGAGCCATCTCCAGTCCAGGAGTTAAGCTTTTTTACTCCCAGCCCAGAGTTAGTTTTTGCATCACTTAATTCTTCGTTTTAAAATTATTTTCTAATTCATGAATTACTACCTCTCTTCCTTTGTATTTCTTTGTTGCCTGAACTTTGAATACTAAATTATTTCTTTGACTTCATTTACCTACATGTCTTAGGAACTAGGAAGATGGTTCAGTGCATACCTCCTGCTCAAACATGAGGACCTAAATTCATATCGCTAGAACCCATGTAAAAGCTCAATGCTGTGCTGCAAGTCTATAATCCCAGCACTGGGGTTGGTGCAGAGTAGGAGAGGTAGGGGATATGGGGTCTCGTGGAGGTGGAGACAGACAGATCCCTGGTGGCTTGCTGGCTAGCCAATCCATGAGCTCTGGGTTTGGTGAGAGATCCTGCTTCAAAAAATAAGATGGAGTGAGATAGAGGAAGACACCTGATGTTGACCTCTGGCCTCCACATGCACATTCACAGGCAAGCATACCTGCACACACATGTTCACACTAGTACACACATGCACATACACAGCAATATTAGCCATGCCCCAAAAAATCTTTTTTGGTCTTTTTTTTGAGACAGGGTCTCCCTGTAGTCCCAGCTGGCCTGGAACTCACTATGTAGAACAGGTTAGCCTTGAACTCATAGAGAATCACCCACCTTTGCTGCCCGAATGCTGGGACTAAAGGCATGCACCACCACACCCAGCTGTGAAAAATGTTTAAATGTGTTTAATTTCATTTATTTAAGTTGTGGAAAATCAGGGGTTAAATTATTTCTGATCCTTCACCTTTTTCACTTTTAATTTTGGTATTACTTTCTGCCTTCTTGAATTACACTTGTACTGGCAGATCAGTTGAGTAATTAATGGGACAAGTAATTCATGCCCATTGTGTCAAGGAAGAAAGATAGGATCATGATAGGTTATACAGAACTGGTAAAATGTTTTAACTGACATAATCCCCCCAAATGTAATTCATCAAAAAATATCTATATTCTTATGGCCGGGGATGTGGCTTAGTGGTAGAGCACTAGTCTAGCATGTGCAAGGTCCTGGGCTTGAGCCCCAACACCACAAAAAGCATCTATACTCTTTTTTCAGTTTTTAAATAATATTTTATTTAGTTATGGGGGGTGTCCACTGCCACAGTGTATGTGCAGAGAACAACCTTTATGAGTTGATGCTCTGCTTCTACCATGTGAATGCTGAGGATCAAACTCAAGTTGTTAGGCTTGGTGGCAAGTGCCTTTATCCACTGAGCCATCTCACTGGCTCCTTGTGTAGAAATTTATCTCAAGATAGTAATTATAGAAGAGCTTAATGATCCCTATGCAGGAATCATTACTGTTGCTTTATTTGCAAGAATAACAAAGTCAAACAATCTAAGTGACCAAGAATGGAGGACTGGTGAAGGTACATCCAGACAGTGGAATTTACATGGCCAGTAGCAGTGTCAGGATTGGTTAAGGAAGTTCACCTTATTTGCATAACACCAAACATGGATGTGCTGCCAGTCACTAAAAAATTTTTTTATTTACTTATTTTTATTTTATGTGTATGAATGCTTTGCCTGCATGCATGTAAGTGGACCACGTGCATACAATGCCAGAGGAGGCCAGAAGAGGGCGACAATATCATTAGCCACCATGTGGATGCTGGAAACTGAACCCAGGTCAGTGCTCTCAACCAATGCATCATCTCTCCAGCTCTCATACTTTTTATTATACTTTCAAGGACCTATATATGTGGCAATAGTATATAGATTCTAGCAGGACAGGAACTCCTTCTGCTGGTTCTGGGAAGGCGTGTTGAGTCTGAGTGTGGTATACATGTGTGTTTTGCAAAAATGCCTACTGTGCTGAAGCAAAGCATTATCACCATCTTTGTGTCCATGCACTGAATTCACCGGAAGGAAATTTCTTTTTAAAAAAAGATTTATTTTATAGTTTCATGTATATGAGTGTATTGCCTGCATGTATGTAAGTGCAACTGTGTCATGCAATGCCCACAGAAATCAGAAGAGGATATAAGATCCCCTGGAACTATAGTTACGGATGGTTGTTAGCTGCCATGTGGATGCTGGGAACCAAAATCCAGGTCCTCTGCAAGAGAAGCCAGTGTGCTTAACTGCTGAGCCATCTCTCCAGCCCCCGATATTTATTTATTTTTTATTTTATATGTATGAGCGTTATGAGTGTTTTGCTTGCATGTTTGCAAGTATTCCACGTGCGTGCCAGGTGCTTAAAGAAGCCAGAAGAGGCTAGAACTAGAATTAGAGACAGTTGTGAGCTGCCATGTGGGTGCTGAGAACCTAAACCCAGGTTTTCTGCAAGAACAGCCAGTGCTCTTAATCGCAGAGCTATTTCTCCAGCCCCCTGAAAGAAATGTGTGATGAACCATTTAGAAGAGGGTGTGAGATCACCAATGGGCCAAGTATGCGCAGAACCATTTGGTGAGAGGCAAGTAGAATTATTTTACTTACTCCGGAAGAAGTGAAAGAGAGTGGGAACACAGATCACAGCTCCCAAAGCTGAGTGTGGTGGCCTTTAATCCCAACAATTGGGAGGCAGAGGCAGGTAGATCTCTGTGAGATCTAGGCCAGCCTGGTTTAGTGAGTTCCTAGCCTAGTGAGTTCCAGGCCAGCTGGGGCTACAGGGGAGATCCTGTCTGGAGAGAGAGAGAGGAAAAAAGTTCCCCAAACCCCCTCCAGTTTGATGGTCAGCTAAGACAGCTCACAGAACTCAGAAAGGTCACTATGGTCAGAGTCACCACTTCTCACAGTGAAAGGATACATATTAAAATCAGCACAGGAAAGAGATGCATGGGGTAGAGTCAGGCATAGGTTACCAGTCACAGCTGCCAAGCAGAGCCTTCCAGACCGTGCCTCATTTTCCAGTGCTGGTGGGCAGCACTTAAACTAATGCCACCAGTGAAGCTAAGCTGAGCCTCAGCATCCCTGGTTTCTGTTGGGGATCAGTTACCCAGTCTCCACTCTCTCCAGGGGTCAACCAGATGTAGCGAGGTCCAAGGGCCCCATCATAAACTACATCATTAACATGAGCTACCAGACTGGGTCTCAGGCCCCAGGCCCCAGGCCCCAGGTACATAAAACTCTTTGTCAGACAGGATATTTCTAGGGCTCAGAGGTCACCTCCCAGGAACAGATCAATGGTAAGTCCCTCCTTTGAACTGTGAAGGGTCTGGTCATTTCAGGCCTACCCTTTATTGAAAAAAAAATAAGTGGAGGTAGGAAGATGTCAGAAGACATGCACAGGATGCCCTGCCAACAATCCTCAAACCTTCAGAAAAAGGCCTGTGAAAATTCCTGAAAAGTTTTCTGTACACAAAGGTCTTATGGAAATCTATGCACAGGTAGAGCTTTGCATCAGATAAATTGTTTGACTGGAACCAAGGTGGTGGAGAAAAGAACGCTTGCAAGGCATGTGCCTGATGGAATCTTACATGGGCTGAGATTCTAACATTAAGGAACAAGGCGTGGGGGAGAGGCCATTCTGATAGGGACAAGAAGCCAACATACATGTGTATATGCATATATATGTATATGCATATATATTTAGTGTATATGTGTAGGTCTGTGTGTATATGTTCATTTTCCTATGGCTGTGAGTGCACGCAAGATCCTGTCCACCTCGATTTTAGAGACAGGGTCTCTCACTGGTACCTGCAGATTGCCAATTAGGATAGACTGGCTAGCCAGTGAGCACCAGGACTCCACTCACAGAGGCCTCCAATCCAGCCCATCTTGGACAGGCAGCAGTGACCAGGTTCCCAAAGAAAAAGTGGAGACACGTATGGTCTCTTGAGGGCCAGGTTTGGAACTTGCCCACCATGCCTTCTCCTACACTGTCAGTCCAAGTACATACCAGAGCAGGGTTGGCATATCCTGCCTCAGAGCGTTGACAGTTCAGCTTCCAAACTCTGGCTTCAAGCAAGACAGTTGCTCTTACCATTTTCTCCTAATCTTTCTTGTATTTATTTTTGCTTTTAAATCAACTTTTTATTCTTAGAAGCAGTCTCATTATCAATAGCATCATCTTGAACTGTCCTGAATATCACATTCCTTCTTATATGTATCAATACTCATACTGAACGAAATCTGGACTGCAAAAGAGGATTTCTTTTTGCACCTGGCTTTTTTAGGTCCTCGTCCACCAGCTCAACAACCATCTTTCATGTATTTCAATGTATTTCAGTGGTTGTCCTTACAGAGAAAATTGGAATGCCTCCATGTCCTTAATAAAACTTCCTGACTCTTCCGTCTCCTCTTTCTTCCTGGCTTCTGTGACTCCAAACTTGTTGAAGTGGCCTGAAGGGAGGCTCATTCAGCCTCCACTAATGCCATGTCCCGTGTGTGTCTGTGCTCCCTTCCCCCCTCCCCCAGCTATCGCTCATCGGTCTCCATGGCCACCTGAATAATCAGATGCACTGAGATGCAGTGTGCTCTATGGCTTGCCTTTTTTTTTTGAGACAGGGTCTCCTTGTAGCCCCAGCTGTCCTGGAACTCGCTATGTAGACCAGGCTGGCCTCAAAGTCATAAAGATCCACCTGCCTCTGCTTCCCAAGTGCTGGGATCAAAGGCATGTACCACCACGCCTGGCATGGCTTCCTTTTTATCCCCTGAGAAGAAGTCATTATCCACTCAAGGTCAGCAATGACTTCAGTTGACATCACCTCTGGAGACTAGATACTACTGAATGCCATGCTAAGAAAATCACTCCCTTTCTGTTGTTTCAATCCTGATTAGTGGAGAAAAAGACAGTTTGCTTTAACACCTCTCTACAACTTGCTAGCTTTTTGGTTTAGCTAAGTGTCCAAAGTTTTTATAGTAAGAAAGCATCGGCCAGACTTCAGTGTCTCCTCATCTTTATTGGTCCCTTTTCTTCCATGGCCAGTGAAGCTAGGGCCACATTTTTCATTGTTTTATAAGTTTCCTTCAGAACTACATTTGACCAGTACAAAGGGAATCAAGTTAAAGGAAAAAATAACCTTAGAGAAATAATCACACTAGTGGATACGTGAGGCAGAAAGGAAAAAAGAGTACTTGAAAGACAAGTGTGGAAAGTAGATCAGTTATACAAACTCTTCTAATAAAATCCTATAGCTCTTGGCTAAAAAGTAAAGCTTTCTTTCCCTGGAAGAAATTATTCAGAGCATGGAATGTAGCTAGTGGAGGGCTTACCTAAGATGCACAAAGCCCTGGACTGAGTCTCCAGTCCAGCACAAACCAGGCATGGTGGTATGCATCTGTAATCCCAGCACTTAGGGAGCCGAAGACAGAGGATCAAGTTTAAGGTTGGCCACGAGGTGAGTCTGAAGCCAGCCTGGGGTGCCTGAGACCATTTCTGAAACCAAACTACAATGGAGAGCTGGGCTGGTGGAGAGATGGCTCTCCTCTAGCCCATCACTTGAAAGGACCATGAATTTAAGGCTAGCCTGGGCTACATAGAGAGAGCCTGTCTCAGATAAGTAAATAGTCCTGTTTCTCCCATTGAATTTCCCAGCAGTTTGATGAGTCATCCTTTGTCCACCGTCCATGTGCTGCAGTCTTGGGCCCCAGCTCCTCACCAAAGTGCTGGCAAATTCAGGCTCTCTGGTACCCTCTGTGGAGGAGGACTGAGTTGCCAGCGATTCATAATCCTGTTCTGCCACATAGTGTGAGTCCCACGGTGCCAACAGGAGGAGGAGGAGGAGTGGCAGGAGCAATAGCAGCAGTCCTAGCCATGGGAGTAGTTGTAGGAAGAGGAGCAGCAACCAGACCATTTATTGAGCATCCAACTGGGTTTCACTCAAAATATCTGTGAGTGCATTTGGTTCTCACCACGGCCCTGAGGCAGCCACTATTGTACAGAAGAGGGCATTTGAAGCTTAATGGGGGAACAAGAAAAAGGATGGTGCCTAGTTGGGAGTCTGCAGAGCTTGAACACAGAGGCCTGCCTGACTCCCAGGTTCAAGGTCTGACCAACCCTCCTCCCCCAGGTGCAGTGCTTTGCCCGTTTTCAGAAGCACACGCTGCTTCAGCGGTCCACGGATAATTGCAGGGAATTCTGAGGCAGCTTGAATGTTTGTGATGCCTCAGCCATATATGAATCTGCTGCTTTTCCATCTGTGCTCCCCAGAAATTCAATAAAACAGGGAGAATGCTGCTGCCTCTGCTTCATCTCCAAACACTCCTAGCCCTACCCTTACCATCTCCAGCCTTCTGCACTGAAGAAATGCGATTCAGATGGAAAAGTACTGGCACAAGGTTGACTCGGGTTCTCTAATAAAGACTGTGCATCACGCATCAGCTGCTGCTGTTGCTATGGTGACAGCCACAATTTCTCCCAGACAGCTTGGGTCTGTAGGGAGGGTGGGCCCTAGGGGAAGGAGCGGATTTCTCCAACCTGTCAGACCCTCTCACCTTTCCTGTTTCTCTGACTCTCCCCACTCCCACAGGCCCCCACACTTTCAGGCACTGACAGGGGCACTGGCACCCCCCAGGCCATCATAATTAGCATCTGGCTTGTAGCCCAGCGCTCTGGCAGCACATTCCTCACTTTCCTTGCCAGCCAATCTCCTTTCCCAGCATCCCTTCCAACAACACTGCAGCAGCTGTGCGCAGACAGCACCAAGGTCACCGAAGCGCCAGCAGTGACGAAGCATCCCTTTCCTCCCTGGCGCACACCACACCGGGCTACTGCCTCACTGTGGTCTGAGACATTTACCACACCGGGCTACTGCCTCACTGTGGTCTGAGACATTTACCACACCGGGCTACTGCCTCACTGTGGTCTGAGACATTTGGGGGCTATAACCTTACGATGCTGGGAAAAAGAGGCTGCCTTCAGGAGGATGGAGAAAGATGAACTGTAGTTCTTGGAGGGGTGAAGGGATTCATTTGACTGAGTGTTCATCAATTAAGCTTCAGGGTGGGGAGGGAGGGAGGAAGGAAAGGGGGGGCAGTAGGACATCCCAGGAGGGTGAGGAAGAAGTCTGAAAGTATGTGAGTCAATGTGGCTTGGAATTTGAGGGACTAAAGATGGCAGTGGTGATCAAGAGGAAGGTCAGCGCCATTAGTACACTGGTAGAGGTTCACTGTGCTAAGCACTGTACTAAGCTCTTGAAAAGTGTTAGTGGTGGAATACTTGCCTTACTGAGTGTAGGATCTCTTGGAGTCACTCCACTCATCTCCAGAAGGGAACAGAAGGCTTAGAAAAGTGAATTATCACACCCCAAGGAAGCAATCAGACAAAGCTAACAGGTGGTACATTCTACAACTGATTTGCCAGATCCCTCAAAATACCACTGTCATGTATGAATGGGTCAACAAATTTTACAGGGAGAAAAAATTACTAAGGGACATAAAATCCAAATGCAACTGTGATCCCAGATTGGAGCCTGACCAGAAAAATAAAAGCAGTCATAAAAGAGATTTGAGAGGGGACTGGAAAGATGGCTCAGCAGTTAAGAGCATTAGCTGCTCTTGCAGAGGGCCCAGGTTAGATTCTCAGCACCCACATGGTGGCTAACAACGGTCCATAAGTCCAGTTTTAGGGAATCTGACTCCTTCTTCTGAATTCTGCAGGCATTGCACGACACAGGTGCACTTACATACATTCAAGCAATACATTCTTACACATAAAATAAAAACAAATAAAATTTTAAAAAAGGTTTGAGGGATACTTGGTGAAATTTGAATGTAGACACTATGCAATAGCATTAGGAAATCATTGTTCATTTTCATTTTAAAATATTTTTTTATTTTTATGTATATGAGTGTATTGCCTACATGTATGTAAACGTACCCATGTCATCCAATGCTCACAGAGGTCAGAAGAATACATCAGATTCCCCTGGAACTGAAGTTATAGAGGGTTATAGGCCTCCGTGTGGGTGCTGGGAATCAAACCTGGGTCCTCTGCAAGAGCAGTCAGCGTTCTTCACTGCTGAGTCATCTCTCCAGCCCCCATTGTTCATTTTCTTTAAGTGTGATTCTAACATTTTGTTTATGGAGGAGAATATTACTCTTTGTAGGTAACACAGGTCAGAATACTTACAGGAGGAATATAATGCCTGTAAATAACTGGTACATACAATTATATATTGGAGACTAACACAGGCACACACGTACTGCAAAACAAAGATAGTAAATTATCGACAACAGTTTTGAATCCAGGCATGTCCAAACTATGGCTCGTGAACCACATGCATCCCAGGATAACTATGAATGTGGCCCAACGTATTGTAGATGGCATTATATTGCAATGTCAACAGGTTGGATTTAGGGCCAGTGAGTTGGCTCAGTGGGAAACGATACTTGTCACACAAACCTGGTGACCCGTTCATGATCCCAGAAAACATGTAAGTATGAAGAGAGAGAACCAACCTCACAAAGTTGTCCTCTGACATGCCCATACCTCTCTCTCTCTCTCTCTCTCTCACACACACACACACACACACACACACACACGCACACACACACACACATACACTCTAATACTACTGTTGAGCTTAAAATTCAGTTTCAAAAGGTAGACTACCCCTGAATGGTTCATCATTGTGCCATTACAGTCCTATCTTTTCAACTTTCTACATGTATGAAAACTTTGCTAAGAGTGAAGCAGGAAACTAGAAAAGAAAGGTTTAGCGGCTCAAGATCACACAACTGCAGTTTCAGAGCTCAGACCAGGGTCATCTGACTTCAAAGCTCTTCAGAGAGGGCTGCACTCATCCAAGGGTGCTTCGTGGTCCCCTTGCAGGGGGTCCTGTCCCATGTAGAGTAGTAGTGTAAGAATCCTGCCAGTTTAAGCAGTGAAACCACCTTTGAAACCACCTTCAGGAGCAGAGAAAGAGAGGGAGGGAGGGAGGGAAAACAACAAATTAGCTCAAAACTTTCACAGCCCTAGATGTCTTTTCTAAATGCCTACTTGCTATACAAGGCCATTTCAGGTTCAATGTTTGTTCCACTTTTTACTTCCAACTTGTGGCTCAAACATAATGTGTAAGACTGAGCACAGTGTAGCTCAGTGGTAGAGTGCATGCTTAGCCTGCACTGAAGAATAGAATAAACGAGTAAATGAGTATAGTATTACATGATTCCAGTGGTCTATAAATGGTGAATTACACTCGCTAAGGCATCATTCTCATCTGGCACTTGACAAGCGATAGCACCTGGGTTTCAGGTGGAGGTGAGGCGTCCT